CCTTTTTTTGGTGTATGAATGGAATAAACCCTCAGGCGACGGGGTTTATCATTGCATGTTTTAAACATAATCGCAGAATAATAAACCCCTACCAAAATTTAAGAAAGGGTAAATTACGTTCATCAACCTAAAAAGGGTTTATCACATAGTAGTAAACGGATAATGACAGTTTATTATTCTACACTTGTTTTTTTTCCTACAGTGAACAGTTGCCAAGGTTTATAAATACATAGATTGCGCTCATAAATCTAAAAAGAGTTTATGTAATAGTAATAAGCAGATAGTAAGAGTTGATTATTCTATACATTCTTTTGCAGTGTGTCACAGCGAATAGAGATGTGTAAGAGAGTTTTGTAATGATATACTTCACTTTAATAAAAATTCAGTTATTTATTGACGGTCCATATCTCGAAATGAATAGCTAGTTAAATATTATTTGACTACTTAACTATTGTGATTGTATTTTGTTTTTTTGGACAAGGAAAGGAAAGATTGAATATAGACGGATGAATAAGAAAAGAGAATATCATGGAATTGAGAACTGCTGAAATTAAATATTGAATGTTAAATAGGTAATAACAATAAAGCAATATCATAAACGAAAAATTGTGAATAAATTCATCTCCTCTAAAGATAAGATAGAGATACATTCTATCTTGACAGGAGACATTGTGTATCCTATTGAATATGCGTTTCACGATTGATCAAATACTAAAAGTTAAATATATGTTTGTTTAGTTTACATTGATGAGATAGATACGTAATTATAACCCTCATGCTTAGTACTAATTACTTTTTTTATGCATCTTCTTCATTTCTGATTGCTTGAATATATACATATATGACGCTATGAAAATGAAATTCTTTTAGAATCATGTCCAAGAAAAGCGCTTAATGGTCATATAGAAATTGATAATTGTAATCTACCTTATACATGGTATAATGAAGCTAAACATCCATTTGGATTTAATATTAGTAAGAGTGATTCACAAAAATTGACTCAACCTTTTAAATATAAATCAATTCAAGATGATACATTAATTTATTCAACATCACATGCAACATATATGGCTGGTGGTTATGTACATGAAATTCAAGGAATAACAAAGGAACAAATTCTAAATGGATTTCAATATCTTCAAAATCATCATTGGATTGATCGATATACTCGTGCTATTTTTCTAACATTTAGTTTATATAATCCTAATGCTAATTTATTTGTTTATTGTTCATTACTTCTTGAACAATTACCAGCAACAACAAATCTTATTTTTCGATCATCATTTCAACCATTTAAACTTATACAATTATATACAGGAAAAGATCTTATTTATTGTATTATCTATCTTATTTTAATTATTTATTATACGATAATAGAAATTAAAATTTTTTTAAAAGTTCGTAAAACTTATATAAAACAATTTTGGTCATATATTAATTGGGCTATTATTATATGTTCATGGATTGGTGTTGCAATACATATTCTTCGACAAACAGAAGTAAATAAAATGGGAAATTCATTGAAACTAACAAAAGGACGAAGACCAATTAATTTACAATTTTTCTCATATCTTGATAGTGTTTTAACTTATCTACTCGGTTTCTGTTGTTTTTTTGGTACTATTAAAATGTAAGTAAAACGTAAAATAATTAATCACAATTAGAAATAAATAATTCTCTTGAAAATTTCTCAGCAATAACATACAGTTGATAATTATCGTTGCTTGAAATTCTAATAGATATTTACTAGTTATTCGATGTATATCAGACCTCGAAATTCGGTTGCGTTTTAATGGTTCGACCTGATTCAACTTTGAATAGCACTAACTAAAAGTATATTTCTTGTAGAAAAAAAGGTTTCTACACAATTGAATTTCATGATCATTGCAGTCATTTATTAGAAACATTGTAAAAACTTTATTATCATAGTAATCACAAATTGAACAAGGTCGAGCGATTTTTATCCTTGAAAAAAAAACAGCACGAGAGATAAGTGGAATTAATTATTGAACCGAAAGACTAAGATGTAGTCGTGAGTATTTCAACTTCTTGAAGACTATCATTTATTAACGGAAGCTTTCACAAGTAAAATGTTTCCTGATCAGTTACAACGAGTCAGATCGATTACTATTTTTTAGTACACTGTTAACACTTCCACTTTAGTAACAACCATGTTACTTAATGCACTCGATTTTGCGTGTGGATGAGGAATATCATCGAACCGAATAAATGCTCTACTTTAATTTATTATCTAAATGAAACTTTCACAACATTTGTATAATAAAGATTTCTGATTGTTACCAGTTGTGAGATAGAAAATTCTTGTAAGAAATTTTGACGAAGAATCAAAATAAAATTGTAGATTTCAATTGATTTTAGTCTTTTTTTTGATCAATTGCAACTGGTTTTTTTTAAATTGATTATAAAACGTTAAAATCCAATGAAATTTACTTTCAAAGTTGAAAAATCAGATTTTTATATTATTCAACTAGTATCATTGTAATCGATTTTTTAGTTAGAAAAAAATCGATTAAAACTAGATTTTTTTTTCTGTTTTCTTATGTGGGAAAAATAAATAAAATCCAGACTGATTCGTCTATTTCGATCTCTAATGTATATTACAATGTAATATAAAACAATTGATCTCAAACATTGAAGATAAATGATTCATTCATATATCTTTATTTTTTAGACTTCGTCTACTTCGTTTTAATCGTCGTCTGTCATTATTTCATTTAACATTAAAAAAATCAATGAAACAAATTATAGGTTTTCTTTTAATGTTTTCATTAGTATTTTGTGCTTTTAATGGATTATTTTATCTATTATTTCATCCATATTTAAAACAATATTCAACATGGTTATATACAAGTTTAACATGTTTTGAAATGATTTCACGACATATGTCAACAGTATCTGATTTGAAAAATGTTAATCCACTTTTAGCTGGTTTATCATTATTTTTATTTATTCTTATTGCAGTATTTTTATTAAGTAATATGTTTATATCAATTATTGTTGATAATTTTAATTTATTACGTCGAGAACTATTAAAACATAAAAATGAAATTGAATTAATTCAATTTACTAAGACAAAAATAAAACAATGGCTAAGTAATTGATGATATATTGAAGAAAAAAATAATTAAAATCTTTTTGTTTCTTTTTTTTTATTAGATATAACTACATATAAGCAAGAAATAGAAAAGAAAAATCCAATTATTGAATTTCCGAATAAAATCAATAAACTTGCAAATGTTATTGATAAAGTAAATAATATCAATATATTAATTCTAGATAATTTCTGCTTATTGTTTTTTTTTTTTTAGTTATACGATGATACAAAATATTAATCATTTTAATTATTATCGATAAGAATGTATAAACTTTATTTTTTGCTTTTGCTTTTGTATTGTGATAAATAATATTTTATATTGTTTAAATAAAATATTTAATCATGAAAATTTATTAAAAATTCAAAAACAATTCTTACAAGATTATTAAATGAAACATAATAGAAATGTAATGAAGAATGATTTGTAAAATTAAATCAAATAATCATATAGATTTGTTTATTAAAGATTTGAAAAGTCTGTCAGTTATGCAATAAAGAGGCTTGTTTTTTGATTTTTCTGTTCTTGTCTTCTTTTTAATAGATCAATTAAAATTGAAAGTAATACCTTTCAACAATAAACTCTCTTTTTATCTAAATAATAAATCTAGGTCATTTACATTTTTGTTGAAGGTAATTTGATTTTGATATTTTCTTCCAAATTTTTTCTTATTAACTTATTTGTTATTGATAATATTATTCAATAAACTAACGTACCATAGATGTTTTATTCAATATAATTTCAATTATTCTTAAAAGGATCTCAATCCCTTTCCGGATGTTAAAATCAAAAATTTTTTTGAGTTTTAGTTTAACTTCCAAATGTTCTCTGTCAAATGCCATATTTTTATAAAATTCAATTCTCGGAATCTCTTGGAAAAAAATTCGCATTGTGATTATTCTTTCTATGCAAAATTCTCCTAATGATAATTTTATCTTTTTCTTTCTTCGAAATATTGTTCTTATGAAAATCAACATCCTTTAAAAGATTAATACCATCGAAAAAAAAAACATGTTTTTTGACAGTGCTGCCAGTATTTTACTTCTCTTAAGCTCGAGAAACGATATTTTTGAAAGAAAAAACAAACCACGCACCCAGCTTTGATCCTAGTTGTCCTAGAACAGAATTACAACTCCAAAAAAATGAAGTATAAAGTTTTACGAAGAAGAGGAGAACTTCTACCAATTTTTGATCTTTGCAACCTCCATATCTCTCTTCAGAAAGCATCTAAGAATTTTGAGGCCATGACAACTTTTTCTCTACTTATCGAGAACTATCTGCCTTGAAAGTTTCATAATTTTTCGCCAAGCCGTTTCCGAGAGAGTCTCTGAAAAGAGAGACTTTAAAGTTAAAGGTACATTGTTGATAATCTTGCTAAGTCTGATTGTCATAGATGAAGAAGAAATCGATCAGAAATTTTTATTTTCTTTTTAAAGAATTCTTTTATATAAAATCAATACTAAAAAATCGATTTTGATATGAAGAAAAATATGTCAATATGATTTTGTTTTTCATTTCCGTAATGAACAAAAAAAAAATGAATCTTTAAACATATAATCAAATGCGTTTTTCTTTTAATCAAATATAAATGAATGTTAATTTCTACCAATAAATAATTTACAATATTCATTATCAAATATTTATCAACTTAATAATTATCACGTTATTTTCTATCAACAAGAAGAAGAAAATCCTATGCATATAAACATGTCATTTACCATCAGTTTACTCAGTTATCAATCAAAAAAACAACATGATAAAAACAAATGAACTAATATTATTCATTTTCTTATATTGATCAATGATGATAAAAAGACTATAATTAAGGAAATCAATGTTGTTTATTTCAAAATATTTGTACAATGTTGACAATGTACAATAAACATTTTAACCTAATAAACCGTATTGCGGTCGACCAGCACGTCTTTCTCTAATATTATTTAACCATTCTTGAAAATCATCGTTATGATTTGATACTAGAAAGAATAAAAATATAATAAATAAAAAGTCAAATAACAAATATATTTATTTTTAATCATTACCATCATTTCGTTTACCCAAATAACCATATGAATAACGTTTTCCAAGGACACCAAATTTCAGATGATGACGACGAAGGGGTAATGGAATGATATGTTGTGCTGTTATGAAACTTATTTCCTTTTTGTTTCGTAATGATTCATCATTTTCATCACTTGCACTATTCTCAACCATTGATGATTTATCATCATTTAATACAGTTGCATCTAATTTATATACTTATATGAGTTTGTACTTAAAAAAAAAACAAACCTATCAAAATCATCTTACCTGCATGTGCAATTTTGAATATGAATATCATCATTAAGGCGACAAATATAAATTGACTTGACCACCTTTTCATTTCTCAATGTAATCTAGAATAATGAAATATAAAAAAAAAATAAACTACAATGCATCTGAATATATTCGTCCGAAAATTGATCAAATATTCTTTTAATATTTATTTATTTTGATTACATACATAAAATAATAATATGCATACAAGAAATCTACGATTGTTGATTTTTGAATACAAGCAGTAAATAATAATATTGAAGACAATGATGAAGCAAAAATTATTTGTTAATGCATATGGTTTGATTTCATTTCATTTGCTCTCAATTTCTTCTCATCTTCTCGCTCCCTTCCTTTTTCTTCCGCTATTCCATTAGCGTCAGTCTGTGCATTTTTCTCTCTCGTCGTCCATTTTTTTTTCTAACAATTTCTCACTTGTCTGTTCGCTTGTTATTGTATTTAATTCGGCTCAGTTCCGAGTCAAGAAGCTCAATATGATATGTGCATAAGCAAAAGGATTTTACCATATAAAAAAAATCTCTCGTCAAGAAAAGGAAAAAAGAGAGAAATGCACAATTAAGAGTGCTTTAGTATCCATCTTATACATAAACTGTCGGAAACATGATTAGTCTTTTAGTCAAATCTCATTTGACTTTAACCAACCTTTTTCCTTTCTATCAAGAAGCAAAAAAAAGTATTCGATTATAATTCAATTAACTAATCAAGCTGAAACGATATACTCAATTTCATATTGATTATCATTTTTTGACAATTACTACATTGGACTTAGTTATGTGAAGAAGAGAAAAAAAAAATAACTTGCTTTATTGATTCTCATTTTAATATATTTCTTATTGATTAAATAAAACTAAATGTCTCTTAGAATACCAAGATGGGTTTTTTTTTGTTTAAAACTTACAACTTAGTGGCGTAACTAAAAGATCGTGAATGATAGAGCAATGTCCTATGATCTTAGGAGAAATCCATGAAATATACTGTCAATAATAGTAATAATTATTATTATGTTCTCCTTTCTTCTAATAGTCGAGCGATGACGATCAATGATAGGATGTCGTTCGTTCTAACCCACTCTTAATTACGCCATTATTATCACTATACATATATTTTACAACAATAGTAATAATAATAACTGTACTAATGATTACATATAAAAAGAAAACGCGCTTGTTCTAATATATTTTATTTAGCCTTAATAGATATATGTTTTTTGGACGCATGATAGATTCACTTATGTCTGGTTAGTTAATACGGAAAAAAAAATACTAACAAAATAACTTTAGAATAATTCTATTGTAATTTAATTTAAAGATGAATCGTCACGCAAGATTCTATCAACATCATATTTAACATCATCACCAAATTCATCTAATTTAATAACGCCATTGAATCAAAGAAGTCTAAAATCAACAATAACATATGATCGATCACAAATGATAACATCTCATATGATATTAAAAAATTATTTTTTAAATGGAAAAAATCATTTTATTGATAAATATAAACATAGACAAATTGATAATGCTATTTTAAATGATTTTATTATTCAACGATTTCTTGGTCATGGAAGTTTTGGTACAGTTGTTCTTGCTATACATGGAAAAAAACGAATAGCTATGAAAATTCTTGAAAAACAACATATTGTTAAATTAAAACAAATTCGTCATGTTATTAATGAATGTCATCTTTTAGGAGCAATACAATGTCCATTTATTGTTGATTTATTATATAAATTTAAAGATAATGCAAATCTATATCTATGTTTAGAATTTATTGGTGGTGGAGAGGTTTTTATCTATATATTTTCTTGTTTCTTTTTTTGTTTTGTTTTTTTGACAACTTTCATACATATATATCATAATTATTAGAATCATGTTGTTATTTAAGTCAAATTATTTTTTTTTTATATTAGAACATTTTTCTTTTGACTAAAACAAAATAATTATTTCAATATTATCGAAATCAAAACATTTTTCATATCAATGGTTGGATGAAAAAGAAAATTTTCTATTAGCCAAAAGAATGATCTATTTTCTATAGGTCGTTTCACTAGAAGATCGTCTCTGACATGTTGGAGAGAATAGGAAACTAACAGAACTCTTCCACAATGCTGTTCACGGGATTTTGCGAAACACTTCCCTGTCAATCTCTGAAGAGAATAATTTAATATATTTGAACTTGTGAAACATGTCCGATGTAGTTCACGTTTGAAATTATCACAACTTTGATCAAGTTTGTGAGATATAGTCTTCTCAAAAGATTACTTCATTATAATGTTAAAGCTATGTATTAAATTTTATTAGATTGGACTGAACTAGTCTAACATTGAAGAATTACTATTGCTTTCGTAATTTGTCAGTCAATATGAACAAAACTATTCTTATGAGAAAAAAAAAAAGAATATTCAGTTTCTGGCTTGTCTTAATCAATCAAAAATATAGAAACTATTTATTTACGAACAGAAAAAGTATTGTTGTATATAACATCATATTTATTAGATTTCGATATATCCAGTGATTTATCCAGGTTTTCTCTTCTAGAAGAGTGAAAGCCTAATTTTAGAAGTACAGACGTGTAGTACGTGGTACAATAACTACATTTTTCATGAGAACCAACCCAATCTTCGAAAGGACTCGACGCTCATGCTTCATAAAACACTGAATACATTTTTTTCAGAACTGATCTTCAATAGTTTATAAAACCTAGTAATATCGGATGTCCCAGAGAAAATGGACCGTGCAATATTTCAATTATATCTCTTCTACTATTCGTTTGTTCAGACTTTATTTTTTTCGAAAAACTCATTTTTTAGTTCTCTACAAAATATTATATCGTTTTTCTGAATCTAAGTAGTATTGATTATTTTCCAAAACAAGCTTCAAACGAATAGTCCAACATATAAAACAACTTTTTGTCGAATTTTTATGATCTCGTGTTATAGTTCTTCAATAAGAGTAGGTTTCAATGCTTTCTTTTTTCTCATTCAAGTACAATGACTAAAATCATGTCAGATTGAACGGTTCAATAAATTTAAATGTAAATTATTCAGTAGTCAATGTTTTTTGTTAATGAAAAATCGTTCTGACACCATTATTGTATTAATTAAGTGATATAAGGTTCCGCATTGTCCTGATGAAATCTCCAATCTATTCTGAAGATTTCATATTCATATTCTATTAGTACTTGAATAACATAATGTATTCATTGAGCGTGATACAATGTCTCATGATCAAAAGTGATGATCACTGTCAAGTTGGAGATTTTATCAAGACAATGCTAAACCTCATACCACTCAATTAACATAATAATCATATCAAAACAACTTTTCATTGACAAGAAACATTGACTACTGAATAATTTACATTTAAATTTATTGGACCGTTCAATCTGACATGATTTTGGTTGTTGTATTGAATGGGGAAAAAATTGCAACGAAAGATATTCTTATTAAAGAACTATCACACGAGATCATAAAAATTCAACAAAAAAGTTGTTTTATATATTGAACTGTTCGTTTGAAGCTTGTTTTGGAAAATAATCGATGCTCTTTAGATTCACAAAAAGAAACATATCGTTTTATAGAGAATTAAAAGATGAATTTTTTGAAAAATCAATCAAGTCTAAATAAACCAATATTAAAAGAGATATAATTGAAATATTGCGAACTTCTCTTTTCCCTCGAACACCCAATATTTATACACAATACAAAAAATAAAAAATAAAGTCGACAAATTTTTGAAAATTAAATTTTCTATTAGTAATAAATTTTCAATTAATTAATAGATTTGAATTGTATTTAGATGTTTCAGCATATGCGAAAACAAAAAAACAAACGATTTTCCGAAAGTCTTGCACGTTTTTATGCTGCACAAATAACGCTTGCTTTTGAATATTTACAATATCTTGATATTTGGTCAGAACAAAAAATAAAAATAAAAAAAAGAATCAATCATAACTCATAAATATTCTTTTCCTTTTCAGTCATAGAGATTTGAAACCTGGTTAGTATTGTTTTGTTTTGGTTTTTATTAATAATTCAAAAATTTCTCCATATCTATTATTTTTATTCAGAAAATTGTTTAATTACTTATGATGGTTTTATAAAATTAACTGATTTTGGTTTTGCTAAAATAGTTCCAGGACGAACATATACACTTTGTGGTACAGCACAATATTTAGCTCCTGAAATTTTATCTAATAAAGGTTATGGTAAGATATGTTTTATGTATGAATATTTTTAATGATCATATTTAATTTTTTTTTTTTTATTAATTATTTAGGTAAAGGTGTTGATTGGTGGTGTTTAGGTGTATTTCTTTATGAGTTAAATGCTGGTTTTTCACCATTCTATGCTCCAGATCATGCTACTCTTTATTCATTAATTTTACGTTGTGGTATAAAAAAAAAAACAAAAAGAAAATTTTCTTTTATCTACTTTGTTGGTTTTTTTTTTGTCTTCTTCTAAGAATATAAATTTCCAAAACATTTTAAAGAAGATCTTAAATCATTAATACGTCGATTACTTCAAATTGATACAACAAAACGTTATGGTTGTTTAGTTAATGGTGCAAAAGATATAAAAAATCATATTTATTTTAAAAAAATAAATTGGTTATCATTATATGAAAAAAAAGTTCATTCAGAATTTCGACCACAATTAATAAAAGGTTATGAATTTGAATATTTTTTAGAAAAAAAAGATTTTATTATTCCAAAATCATCAATATGTTTATTTGAAAAAGAATTTCAATATTTTTAATAAAAAAATATCAAACAAATAAATCATAATTGTTTAACATATATATTTTTTGTTTTGTGTACTTTTGTAATTCCTTATCAATTGTTTATTTTGATAGTAAATGTATAGATAAAAAAACAAAAAAAGAAAGATCGATCGATCGAGTTTTGATGATTGAATTATTATCATAATTTTTTTACTATTAATAATCTCACACGATGAAATATTTATATCTGCATGTTCTCATTTTTATTTTGTTCTATATTATTATTAAGAACGATAGAATATTAATAAGATCTACTGTAATTGAT